GTTGTCTCTCAGCTCTCGGGGATGTGGAGCCCGGCCCCGCTGTGTGCCCTGGGCTGGCGGCGCCCCGGCCCCTCCGCGCCGCTGCAGCCGCTGACCCGCCTGTTCCAGAGGGAACATCGGGATAAAACTCCAGTCCACCTGCTCCAGAGAGAATACTGGGATAAAACCCCAATCCACCTGCTCCAAAGCGAATATCGGGATAAAACCCCGACCCGCCTGTTCCGGAGGGAACATCATGATAAAACCCCGACCCGCCTGTTCCAGAGGGAACATCACGATAAAACCCCGACCCGCCTGCTCCAAAGGGAATATCGAGAGGTGCCGGGGCAGGGCTGGGGAAGGACACAGCAGCAGCCCCCCCGCCGGTTTGTGAGTTATAAACCCAAATCCAAGCGGAATCCCAAAACATTCCCGGTTCTGGATGGCCGTGTCCCCTCCGTGTACCAACATGTGTTCGAACAGAATTTAAGGAACAGCGAGGCTGTGATTAAAAGGTAATAAACAGGTTTTGTGGGTTTTTTAAAGTCAGTATTTAGTATTTGTAACTTTGTGTGAGAGTCACTTATGGGCACTTAAGTGACTTTTAACATGGGCCAGTATTTGTCCCATGGAATAATGAAGCTGCCCAGTCCCTGGAAGTGTCCAAGGCCAGGTTGGTCGGGGTTTGGAGCATCCTGGTGTCCCTGCCTGTGGCAGAGGGTGGCACTGGATGAGCTTTGAGGTCCCTTCCAACACAAACCAGCCCGTGAAGTGTTGACTGAAATACCCAAATGGAGGTGCAAAACAATGCCATGTGTTGTTTTGCATATATTGCCGAGAAATACTTTCCCCAGACCTACGGAACATTTGTTTAGTGTTGCATTTTGAATGCAAGGACGTAAATGGTGACTCACACACTCCTGACAGAGTAGGGGATGGGTGCTGGAATCCATCATGATTTATGGATAAAACGATAAAACTTGTTTAAAATGTTTGTCCTGAAAGATCAGATGGCAGAATTGCAAAGGCCTTTGTTCAGGGGAGTGATCCGTGAGCTGGAGGCAAAGCTTTGGAAAACACACTGTGCCCTCCTGTGGTGGCATTGAGGACATGATTAAAATCCTTTCCCTCCAAAGTTTTTTCAGCCTCCATCTCTCAGATGAGCCACACTCAGATCAGAGTCACACACACACAAAGTGCTGTGTGTCTTTGTGTCAAACAACATTTAAAAGTGATGCATCTGGGGCAAAAATGTGTTTGAAATAAAGGAAAAACTTGTTTTATTTAAGACCGAAGTTGAGATACCACGTTTGTTTACAGTTTATTCAGTTTTTTACCTAGACATGGTGCTGACCTGACAATAACATTGGCTAATCACTCTCTCCTCGTGACACTGAAGTGTTCCCTGCTTTTAGAATATCCAAATTTAGTAATTTATTCCACTTCCCAAGTACTGATTTTTGTCAGATAAACTTGTTGCAGGAGCTGACAGAGGAAGATCTTGGCTGGATTATTCCCAAGAGTAGATGGAACATGGAGGTTCATGCTGAGTTAGGACAGACACACTATGATAGCCTCATTATTATATATTGCTTGCTTTATTAAAGAGTTTTTGGGTAACAAAAGTGAAATGTTTGCTTTAAATAATAAGCTTTGGTTTTCATTACGCCTTGTGTAAAAACAATAATATGGAAACATGGATTTATCTTTATTTTCATGCCATTTGTGTGAAAACTGTGCAATATATTTAAGATCAATCTGCTAAAAGGTAACTTGTAAGGAAAATGGTTTAGTCAGGAGGGCCCTCAAAGCCCATCCAGTGCCACCCCTGCCATGGCAGGGACACCTCCCACTGTCCCAGGGTGCTTCAAACCCCAATGTCCAACCTGGCCTTGGGCACTGCCAGGGATCCAGGGGCAGCCACAGCAAATCTGGCAATTCCAGCCCAGCCAGGAATTCCTTCCCAAATCCCATCCATCCCTTCTCTCTGGGAATCCATTCCCTGTGTGCTGTCCCTCCCTGCCTTGTCCCCAGTCCCTCCCCAGCTCTCCTGGAGCCCCTTCAGGCCCTGCCAGGGGCTCTGAGCTCTCCCTGGATCCTTCTCCTCTCCAGGTGAGCACCCCCAGCTCTCCCAGCCTGGCTCCAGCCCTGCAGCATCTCCAGGGCTCCTCTGGACAGGGCAGGATGAGCTTCTCATCCACCAACACCCCAAATCCTCCCAGGGTTCCTCCCCATCCCTTCTCCCACAGCCTGTGTGTGTCTTTGGGATGTTCCCGGCCCTGTTGAACTCCTGAGGTTCCTCCAGCCCCACCTCTCCCCCTGTCCGTGTCCCTCCCCTCCAGCGTGTGACCCAAACTTTGTTTGTTTGTTTGTTTGTTTTTTTCCATCAGATACTCGGAATTACTGGAGAAGGTGAAGAAAGGAGGAGGAGAAAACGCCATCCAGCGGCACACGAAGCGAAACAAGAAGCTGTTCGTGCGGGAGCGCCTGAGGCTGCTCCTGGACCACGAGGATTTCCTGGAGCTGTCCCCGCTGGCAGGGCTGGACCTGCCCTATGGGGATGTCCCTGCTGCCGGCTGCCTCACGGGTAATGCACCCCGAAAGGAGGAAAAAAGGATGCGGGGAATAAAATTTATGGCATATTTCCCCGTTTTTTCAGATATTTATGGGATATCTGGAGTGCTTTCATAGCGAAAAAAAAACAACACTCGTTTTATTCAGTTCTTATTCTCAACAGGGAAGAGTTCAGCCACTGCTGTATTACTGTAATGGGAGAAACCTTTGAAATAAACAATTTTTAATTTCTTCTAGATTTAGTAACTCTGCTTATTAATTTTTGTCTCAAAAAATGTAGGGTGCTGTGTCAAATCAGCTGTTGCCTTTTAAAGGAGAGGGTACAAAGTTACTGTGAGAAACAGGGGGTGTGACATACATTTTGAAGTGTTTTTCAAATCACAGACACTTGCGTTTTCTATGCAAACATTGCCTCTTTAAACTGGAACAGCTCTTCAAAATGAAATTTCATTGAAATTCAATGAAATTCAATTTCATTCAATATCAGTGAAATTACATTTTGAAGAGTGGTTCCAGTTCAAAAAATAACTAGAAGAACTGTATGAAAACCCTTTTTTTCATCACAGATTGTTATGTTTTTCAGCTTTATAGGGGTATTTTTTACCTTCCCTTTTATCTCAGGGGTTGGGAGTCACAGTGTATTTTTTTCTGTTACATTGTTACCAGCAGTAAGTAAATTTCTTTGAGGTTCTCCTGTCATTTGGATTAATTTTTTTAATACTGTCATTCCAGAGAAGAGTGTAGATTTCTTCCCTGTGTGGTATTTTCAAGTTAATTTGGAGCTTCTTGATGTAGCATTACTGAAAAAAAAAAACAGAAAAAGTTTGTTCCCCTTGCTTTAGAGAGTCCTGATAAATTTCTGTGGAAATCACTTGCAGGAATTGGCAGAATCTGTGGGGTCTGGTGTGTCTTCATTGCAAGTGATGCCACTGTGAAAGGAGGGACAATTTACCCAATTGGAGTGAAAAAACAATTAAGAGCCCAGGAAATTGCCATGGAGAACAGGCTGCTGTCTGTGCACCTCGTGGACAGTGGAGGAGCCTTCCTCCCCCTGCAGGTACTGCTGGCACCTCTGCAGAGCAGAAAATCATCTGGATTTATTTCATCACTTGGGCTAATCTTGTACATCCCACCTAATCAGAGCTTAGAAACTGCAGTGAGTGTGCTGAACTGCTTTTGTGTCTAATAAATGAGTATATAGTGGGAGATGTCTATTTTCAATTCAGAATCTCTAAAGTGTTCTCTGTTTTATTGTCCTGGTTGTGCCAGTGATGCACCAAGCTCTGTGGCCTTTAAAAGTGGAGTTTTTGCAATTCTGATTGCAAAATAAGAATTTGCACAGGTTCTTTTGGGAAATGCAGAGATCATTCTCTCATAGAGACTGAGGGCAAGCACACAGGAAAAGTTTTTACCTGGAATTGTATCCAAAATTAAGTAAAAAAGGAAACTGCTGAAGGCATTTCACAGATGAAGTAGAACTACCACCCTTCCCTTCACCACATTTACAGTCAGTTTGTGTAGAATAGATTGATTTCAGAAAAAAATCACAAACCTTAACCCGTGCTTTCAAAGCAAATGGGTATTTGGGGGAGATTTTACAATGTATAAAGGAATAAATACCAGAATGAATGCTGAACATGAAAGGTTCAGGAGTGATTATTAATGGAGACCTTCCCAATGTCAGTTTTGGTGTGTTTGGGAGTGAATGGTGTGAAGAGGAAACATCAACTTTTGTAGTTAATATTAAAAATCCTTTTTTCTTTTCCCTGTCCCTCAGTCAGAGCTGTTTCCTGACAAGCTGCACGGTGGCAGAGTTTTCTACAACGAGGCAATCATGTCTGCCATGGGAATCCCTCAGGTACATGGCATGGGGAGTGCAAGGGGGTGTAGGAAAGGTGCCTTTCTGTTTCTTCCCCCCAAGAATTCAAGATGATATAAAAGAAATGTTGAAATTACTGACTGAAAAACAGCAGAGCTCAAATCAAACTCGTTTGAGGTTGGGACTGACACTAAAGCTTAAGCAGAGACATGCAGAGCTGCCCACGCTGTTTTCATTGTGTTCTACATGAGATTTCATCTCCATGGATGGGAATCCAGTATCTTTTCCAGTGGTAAATCCCTGCACTTGAGGGAATTGACTGTAGGAAGCTTTGAAGGCAGCTTTTAACTGTGTTGGAAAAAAGCATAAGCCATGTGAACCAAACATTTCTTGAGCACAAAATCTGAAACTGCACACAGTTGGGTTTGGGTTTTTGCTTTTTAATACTTTTATGCACAGGTAGTACACTTTGTTCTGCCTCTGGTTTGTTCCCAAAGCTGGGATTCAGCACTTCCTGCATTTCTGAAACAACTTTGTGCTTGGCTTTGCCTTTGCTGTCCCCTGCCCAGCACTGCAGTGTCTGTGTCCCCTCAGGTGGCCGTGGTGTGTGGCTCCTGTGTGGCTGGAGGTGCCTACGTGCCCACCATGGCTGAGGAATCCGTGATCATTGACAAAATTGGGACGTTGTTCCTTGCTGGGCCACCCCTGGTGAAAGCTGCCACGGGAGAAGATGTCTCTCCTGAGGACCTTGGAGGAGCCAGGCTTCACTCACAGTATGTGGAATATTCTCAAAAATAGGGAGAGCAATGTGGCATTGGCATTTCAGAGCAGGGCTAAGAGTGGAACCTGTGGTTTGCCTTCTCAGGCTCAGGGGTTTGGGTTAAATCAGCCAAATGGAAGTAAAATTAAATTATTTATGGGGTGAGGCAGGGACTGGACAGGTTGGGTTTGGATGTCTATTGTTCCACATACTTCTTGAACAACTTCAGGCAAGTAATCTCCTCTGTGCTTCACAGGGAGCAGCCACAGAAGAGGGATGATATCTCCTCTTTTCCAAGTGTTTTCCAGAATACACATATTTAACCAAATTATGCTACATGGAATACATTCCTGTCTTTATATCTTGGCTGCAACCACTTATTTTGAAATAATTCCTGAAGTTTGCTTTCCTCTTTTCCCTTTTTGATATTTTCTGCAACAACAGCATCACAAAAAGAAATTCCAAGGTCTTTTTAAAATCCAGATAAGCACAAAAGTCACGGGGAAAAACAACTCCTTACTGTGAATTTAATTTGGGATTGGACTGCACAGAAATCACTGAGTGACTGCTCATTCATACAGAACCAAATCACACAGAATTTCCACAGGGCATTTGGAGAGTCTCAGCTTTTTTCTTAGAGTTTGGATTTTCCCTCAGAACTCAGAACTCATTAATACAATGCTAATTAATGTCCCTCTCTCCTAGAGTCAGTGGCTGCAGTGACCATTTTGCATCCTCAGAAGAGGAGGCCTATGAGTGCATTCGGAATGTTGTGTCTACCCTGAACTGGCAGCCAGTGCCAGACGAGGACAGGGAGCCTGACAGTCCCTTGTACAGCCCAGAGGAGCTCCTGGGCCTGGCACCCCTGGATTACAGCTGCACTCTTCCTGTCAAACTGGTAAGGGAGCAGGGATTTCATCCCTGCATCCTCCACTCTGCTCTATCCCACAGCTCCAGGTGTTATTCTGAATTATGACCTCATCTCTTGCCAGCCTGTCTTAAGAAACAAAGCAGGATGGCAACAGTTCTGTGGGATTATAGAAAATATTTAACCTGAAATCTTGCTGATAAAATAATCCCAAAATGTGCCAGTGCTGCCCAGCTGTTTCCATGCACTGTTGGGATGCTTTCTTTGTCTTGCACTGTGTTGGCTGCCTTGAGAACATAAAGCCTTTAAATGTCTGTGTTTTCCTTCCTCTGCCTTTCTGTTTCTTTCCCCCCCTAAGAATTCAAGATGATGTAAAAAGAAATGGTGAAATTATTGATTGAAAAACAGCAGAGCTCAAATCAAACTTGTTTGAGGTTGGGACTGACACTAAAGCTTAAGCAGAGACATGCAGAGCTGCCCACGCTGTTTTCATTGTGTTCTACATGAGATTTCATCTCCATGGATGGGAATCCAGTATCTTTTCCAGTGGTAAATCCCTGCACTTGAGGGAATTGACTGTAGGAAGCTTTGAAGGCAGCTTTTAACTGTGTTGGAAAAAAACATAAGCCATGTGAACCAAACATTTCTTGAGCACAAAATCTGAAACTGCACACAGTTGGGTTTGGGTTTTGCTTTTTTACCCTTTTATGCACAGGAACAACTGTGTTTTGTAAAACTACAATAATTTTGGAGTTGGCCTTTGTCTTAAAATTAAGTTGGTAATTAAATGAAACAAAAATTTGATGGTTTGTACATATTGAGCATTTATCAAGTCACCCAAAGATCCTTTGTGCTTATAACTCAGGTCTGCTACTGTTTGAACAGAGCATTTCTTTTAGCAGAATTCTCCTATTTTCACTACAATTTCTCTACTAAAGTCAAGTCTGGATAATTCTTTGCAGATTCTGAGCCGGCTGGTGGATGGAAGCAGATTCCAGGAATTCAAGGCTGCTTATGGAACAACATTAGTGACAGGATTTGGCCATGTGGAAGGGTAAGGCTGCAAATGTTCTCCATCCAAATGGATTTCTCAACAGCTTTTGTGTCATTGCAATCATTTCTAGGGTTCAAAAGGGAGAATCCTGGAATTGCTGAGGTTGGAAAGAACCTTTCAGATCATGGAGTCCAACTGTCCATGTTTGTTCTCTAGGCACTTGGTGGGGATTGTGGCCAGCAATGGGGAACTGGCTCATGATGCTGCTCTCAAGGGCAGCCACTTTGTCCAGCTCTGTGGCCAGAGGGGAATTCCCATCCTGTTCCTCCAAAACACTGCTCCACAGCCAGCAGGGCCTGCAAGCATCTCACAGGTATGGCATGTATGCTTCAGTGCATTTCAAACAACTCTTAGTTCTTGTTGTGCCTAAAGTGACATTTTCACAATCATTAACTGTTAGGAAAACTATTTTTTTAATCACTCTTGATGAAGCTTCGTAATGGCTTTGCTAATGGAAAGATTTAAGAACATTCTCACTTGAATTTTTAGCAGGCCCGGATGCTGATATAAAATGATACTGTTCAGTTAGCAAGGCAGGCTGGAAATTTTGGGATTTGCAGTGCTTTTGACATTGAAATACAGCTTATTGATTCCTCTGCTATCTCTGCACTCCAGAAAATTGGCTATTTCTCTTTTTAGAGTGTAGGCATTAAAGTAGGATTTGTCCTGAGCTAAGGAAAGTAAAACTTCCATTAGATCCCAGACCTGTTTCTTCAGAATTGTAAATAAATAAATAAATAAATAAATGAGTTAGAAATACAAGTTTGTTTGGGGTGAAGAGAATCTAGAATAAAGTCTTAAAGGATCTAAAATATCTATTTTTATTCCAGGCAGAGGCTCATTCCAACAGGCTGAAGGCCCAGGCCTCCATGATGGCTGCAGTTGCCTGTGCTGCTGTTCCCAAAATAACCATTGTCATTGGAGGCTGTTTTGGGAGTGACAGCTATGTCATGGTATGGGCTTGGGGACACACCTGTCACACTGCTCAAGTGTCACTGCATTCCTAAAACACAGCTGGGGAACTCGAGCTCTGAACTAATATTTTAGTAAGAAATGCAACAGGGCACGTGATTGCTGAAAAATAAACGTGGAAGAATTAAACATGGGAGAATTAAACATGGAAGATTAAACATGGGAGAATTAAACATGGGAGAATTAAACATGGAAATGCTTGGAATTCCAAATGAAACATTAAAATGGAAATACTGAAGGCAGTGGTTCCTAGCACAGGGTGTCTGTCCTCATGCAAATCCAGTGTTCCATTCTGCCTTGCCCTTGGTTGTTTCATCCCACAGACACCTTTTTGTGATTCATCTCAGTGAGTTTGTTCTGTTCTTTGCTTTTTTCTTTTTTTCTCCCCTTGTAGTGTGGGAGATCATTCAGTCCAAACTTTCTGTTCCTGTGGCCCAATGCAAGAATTGCTCTCGTGGATTCTCGACGTTTCCCCACAGTTCCACCAGCTGGGGACTGCACAGGAGAGGAACTGGAGCTAAAACAGCTGAAGGCAAAGTAAGGACATTTAATATAAACCTGGCAGGGATTTCATGGTTAAATTACCCACTTTTGTTCATCTTACACATCCTGACTAATGAAGCAAACATGGATCGACTGAAAAAAATATTTTAAATTTCCATGTAATTCTATATCATTCTGTTAGTAATTCCCATTACTGCAGAATGGTCAGCTCTGTTATTTGCTGCTTTCTGATTAATTTTAACAGCAGTGCTGTCCATTCTCTCCAGATGGATGGATTTGCCTGTTTCATCTGTAATTTTTTTTCATTGCTCTGCTGGTTTTTTGTGCTTTTTTTGTGATTCTAAGCCTGTTCAATTCTCCACCCTCTCCAGGCTAGAGGAAGAAAGCAGTGCCTTTTACTCCTCTTCCAGGCTCTGGGATGATGGGATCATTCCACCTCAGGACACCAGGAAGGTGAATTTTCCTTTTAGGCCATTTTATTCTCCAAGCTCACAATGAGTGAACGTGGCTCAGGGTTGGTGTTCATTCCACCTCTGGGGCTCCCACTTCTCACTCCATGGAATTGCTCTCTGTAATTCTCATCCTGTCTCTTCCCCCTCAGTTTATAAAAAAAAGTTTATCTTGAATTCTGGTTACTTGACCACAGCATTTCCTCACTGAGCCTCACCTTTGACTTTACCACAATTTAAATCTGCATCTGAATCTCTTTTTTTCTGTATTATTACCCATATCTTCCCCTATAATTACCCATATCTTCACTCTTGGAAGTTCAGGCTCCTCAGAATTCCTTTTGTTTCCATTTTTTTATCCTGGAATGTTGTTTTTTGCCATTTTCTCTTCCTGCTTTATATTTGCTATGTATATTTGGGATGCTTCTCTGCCTTTTTATTAATTTCAAATTGGCACACATCCCTCCCTCCATTAGGTTCTTTCTGAAAGCTGCTGCCTTTGTTCTTTTATTTTTCCTTGTTAGATTGTTTATTAGCAATAAAAATCTTCTCTGCATTTCTGAAGTTTGTTTACTTGAAGATCTCAATCTGTCCTGGTTTCAGCTGGGGTTAAATCACAGCACAACCCTTCTAAATATGGTACATATTTATGGAACTATGTGGATGGTAAATATTTCCATGGAGTTTATGGGAACTTTGATAGTGGGAAAGCACCAAGTTTTTAGTCCTAGAGCCCTGAAATTCCCACTGTATGAGCTACACATGAAAATGAGAGTTGAACTGTTCATTTTACATGTTCAGTGTTTCACAAGAAGAAGGAACAAATAAATAAATGCAGAACTAATGAGTTTTACTGGGGTTTTTTTTTGTTTATTTGTTTGAGGCTCATTGTTTATTATTTCTTTTAATTAGGTGATTGCCCAGTGCTTGGAGATCATGGAACAGAAGAAGTTCCAGGCTGTGTTTTCCCATCCCCATCCCATCATCAGGATGTAACTGCAGCCCCCTCAGACAAGAACCCTCTACCAGAACTCTGGGTACAAAGATTTTCTAATTCTTTGATACCATTAATAAAAATGTTGAACAATTGAAGACAAACAAGAATCCCAGATTTTAAATCTGCTGGCAGAAAGTTTTTATTTTCAACAATAGCCTCTTTTAACATCAGCTGAAAGTTTATTTTAGGAGAAGGAAGGATTAAGCTGAACATCTGTAGCACTCTAAGGAAGCAAAGTCAGCCCAAGGGGTAACAATTGCTTGATTTTTTTCATGTCCATTTTTAACATGAAATCCAGAAATCAAGGAACTGCACTTGGACAAAAGAAAGGGAAAAGAGCAAACACACGAGGGAAGGTGTGCAGTTTGCAGCCTGGGTGAAGGACAAAACTCTACCTGGCACCCTCTTGGTTTTCCCAAAGCAGCTGAGGAAAAGCTCCACTCTTGAGGATTGCTCTGAGGATACTACAACAATGATGTTTAAATCCCAAATCCTTCAGCATAGGCTAAAAATTCTCAGCCATGTAACAGAGCACAGCCTGTTGTACACAATGTTACCACATGTAAAAGTGTGGAGGTTACTCTCTGCTTTTTCAGCTTCTTTCACTCTGCTGCAGCTACAAAGTTTAATTTTGCATAAACAGAACCTCTCCACCACCCCAAACTTGGGGTTTCACTAGAAATGATACCAAAGGGTGCATTTAAAAAATACCTGATTAACCATTTGGAAGAATCACTGACAAGACTGAACTGCTTGATCTTGAGTTTAGCAGCCCCACAAATGCAAAGGGGGCTGTGGAAGGAGTTTGGGTCACCTGTAAACGGAGACTGCACCTTTTGGGAGCTGGAAGAAGCCCGGGCCAGGTGTTGCTGTGTGTGCTCACGCTCTCTTGAAGAGCCCATGGAATGTCACAGGAATGTTCACCTCCACCTCGGCCCTGGCCACCTCGCTCATGTCTTTGGCGCTGAGGATGAGGAGGAAGGCGGGCTTGGGCCCCGCCCCCGGGCTGACCACGATGCTCAGCACCACCCCTGCAAGGTGAGAACACGATGGGTGTGCCCAGGTGCGTGTGGGCTGGGCGAGGTGAGAGCAGCCCTGGCACTCGGGCCACCAGAAATCCCGGGAGTGTCATCGATGCTGAGGGACACAGCACAGGCTGCCCAGGGAAGCTGTGGCTGCCCCAGCCCTGGAAGTGTCCAAGGCAAGCTTCAAGGCTTGAAGCAACCTGGGATAGTGGAAAGTGTCCATGCCCATGGCAGGGGATGGAACAGGGTGAGTTTGAAGGTTTCTCCCAACCCAAAAATGTCATTAATCAAGTTTTAGTTTTCCTATGTTTCCTCAGAAGTTTCCCTCCTCTGTTAGCACCTGTCCCATCTCATCTGGGAGCTGCTTGCAGGCTCTGCCCTGCCCAGCTGTGGCACAGCCCTGCAGCCAGCCTGGCCCAGCCCAATCCCAATGCCAATGTCACCAATCCCCCAAATTACCATCATCTTCCTCCAGTGCATCCGGGTGGGAAACAAAGATCGGCTCTGACGGGTACGCATCCGGCTCCTGCCACACCCAGGTCTCCTTGGTTTTAACATTCAGCTTGCAGAGCTAAAGGTGGGGACAACACAAAAACCCACAGAGCTCAGAAATAATTCCTTGTTGTCCCCAAATTCCCCCATTGGCTGATAGTTACCCTGTCTGGGACAAAGTGGTTCAGCCCCAGCCCGTAGGTGTACGTGTACGGCTTCCCACCGTACTTCCTGTAGTTGATCTGGGGGAATTCAAAGGCTGCAAAGAAAAAGAAATACATGAATGCTGAGGGTCAGTGGTGTGCAGGCAGCACCTGGCTGCTGTGATCTGGGGGAGCTGGGGTGTCCTTGTACCATGACGTGGCCCTGAGAAAATCACCTCTGGCTCCAGCCAGATTGTCTCGTCACTGCGCAGCGTCGCCGTGGCTGTGGTGTAGGGCAGGGTGACCAGGTTCTTCCCTGTGTCAGCCTGTGACAAAGAGAAAAAAATACCCAAGAGATTGGAGAGAAGTTTTAGTTTATTTGCACAGAACTGTAGCAAACAGCACCGAGCAGGGAAGGCTCTCAGAGCCTCAGTGAGTGGCAGGAGGTGACTGCTGCCATGTGCTTGGCAGTGCTGCAAGAGCTGTCCTGTTCCTCAGCCTAAACACAACCTCCCTCCCCCCTGAAGGCGTTCTGAGATTTCATTAAGCTCTGCCACGTGGGCTTGCACTTCTCACTTGATCCACAGCCCAGTGAGCTCTGTGAGAGGCTGGGCTGTCCAGCATCCCCTGCAGCCCTGAGCCCACCCGCCAGCCACCACGAGCAGGGTCATGGAAAGGAACCCAGCAGCTGCCAACCACAGAGCTCTGTCTGTGCCAGGCTGGCAGCTCCAGGGACCTCACACGAGGGCTGGAGGATTTAACCACACGTGCTTGGGCTGTGGCTGCTTCCTTCTGTGCTGTGAGCAGATCCAGATTAACTGCTGCCCCACAGGCTCTGCCATGAATGGTAACATATAGGGGCATCAAAGAGTTTAAATTGGAAGGGACCTTAAAGCTCATCTCATTTACCTCACCATGGGCAGCACACCTTCCACTAAACCAATTGCTCAGAGCTCCATCCAGCCCAAGCTTAGACATTTGCAGGGATGGGACAGCCACAACCTCTCTTGGCAACCATATAAATAAACCAGAAAAACATTGACCTAAAGCTAAAGAAAATACAAAATCTCTCTGAAGGCCCATACTTCAAGTTTGCCCTCTTGATGAGAAGATTGAATTGGAAGCAGATGGGGCTGGCAGGGAGGGCAGCAGAGCCCAGTACCTTGTCGATGCTCAGGGGCAGGACGTATCTGCGGGCCTCGGGCTGCGGCGCCTTCTCCGCCTGCCGCTTCACCTCGTCCCAGTTGGCCCGAAGGTTGGCCAGGTACAGGTAATTGTAAACAAACTCAAACCTGCACCAAACAGCATCACACACACACACACACAAACACAGCTGGGCTTGGCAAGTGTGGGGGAAGCATAAGGGTTTTTTGCCTAAAATTCACTGAGGTGTAGAATGGTTTGGGTTGGGAGGGGTCTCAATGTTTATCTCAGCTCCTGTCATGGGCAGGGACACTTCCACTATCCCAGGGTGCTCCAAGCCTGGCCTTGGACACATGCAGGGGCAAAACAGAGTGACACAAGCCCCAGTCCAGCTCCTCAGCAGAGCTGAGCTGTGTGTGCACTCCAGCCCCTGTCAGGAAAACCCAGCATGGGACACCAAGACAAGCATGGGAGGGGGCTTGGAGCAACCTGGGATAGTGGGAGGTGTCCCTGCCCGTGGCAGGGGGTGGCACAAGATGAGTTTTATGGTCTCTTCCAACCCAAAGCAGTCTGGAATTCTGTGATTCTGTGCCAGGATCAGCTCAGCTCAGGGTGTCCTGGGTATGCAGCCAACACAGGGTTGAGCTTCATCATTTCAGTGCAACATTTCTGTGTTTACATGAAGAGCAGCATTTGAGCCTCGTGCACACCCTGCTCACTGCAGCCCCAGGAGCCAGAATAGCATCAACCCTTCACCAGTCACTAACATTTCTTAAAGATAAAAGTAAATAAAAGATAAAAATATTTTTTTCCTGGGAAATGAAAGTCAAGTGCACCTCTGGAGACCTCAACGCTGTACAGTCTACATGTCACCACATGCTAAATATTAAATGGGTTGGTGGAAGTGCCAGAGGCCCCAGCAGGGATGTGCCAGGGCAGGGAGTGCTGTGTGTGGTGCAAGGGGCAGCTGTGATGCCCAGGGAGCCTTGGCCTCACCCCTTCCAGGTGCACAGGTCCACGATGAGGAACCCATTGTCCTCGTAGGTGTTGATGTGGTGGAAGAGGTTGAAGGCCGAGGTGCGGTACTTGAGGTTGAGGAGCCTGCCTTTCTTCTTCTCTGCCACGTGGAGCCACACCTGCAAACCACCCAGCAGCTGGCCTTAGGCTCAGGGAAATGGAGGAGAAGCCAATGGACCTCCCAGGCCAGGTCTGGCTGCCCAGCCCAGCCCAGTTTTGGATGAGCCCATGCTTACCCCCATGGTCTCGTTGGACTCAAAGCAGTCCATGTAGTTGGCTCCCCAAAGGCTCCAGGAGGAGAGGAACTTGAGGAGGTTGATTTTCACTGGTGTCTCCACAAACACAATGTAGTTTGGGGTCAGCCCAAAGCTGTTGGGAAAGGCAGAGGAGCACAGCAGGCTCACCAGGGTCAGTTTGGATAAAAACCATGGAGTTGCTCATCTTAAACACATGGATCATTGCTCAAAATGACCCTGATTTTGGTTAATCACATAATTTTCATTGCTGATTATGTATGAGAACCTGTCCCTGGTTCCAGCTGACCTGCTGACCCCATGGAATGTTACCTGTGGACATAGGAGGGCTTAAACCTGTCACTGCAGGGGAACTGCACCACCACCTCCGACTTGTTCATGGGGTCTTCCTTGTCTGGAATGGGACAGGGGAGAGGTTATGGAGGTCTCACCCACACTTACAGCACCTAGCCAGCAAATTCCTGCCTTTAACACAAAATTCATCATTTAGAAGCCACCTGGAAGTGGTTTAAATACAACATTAAAAAAAAAATCTAGAGGAGCTTGGAAAAAAACGAAGTCAATGACAAAATTAATTTAAAGGATAAAGAAATGATTCATAAGGGAAAAGTTTCCCAGCTGGCTCAGAGGTGGGATTGACTGACCTGCCTGCAGAGGAGGAATCCTGATGATGTTGTAGGCCAGGGCAAAGTTTTTCCCAAAGCAATTGCCAATGTTGTAAACGGTGCCATCGTTCTCAATGTGGGGATGAGCTGTTGCCCCATTGACAGACACATATTTACAGAGATCCACCTGGAGAACAGCAGGGACACAGTCAGGAGCTTTCCCTGGCAGCAGCTGGGATGGCACAAGCTCTGCAAGCTGTTGTGAGTCAATCCAGCCTTGCTCTGCATGTGGGAAGTTCCTCTCCAAGTCTGCAGCTGAGCTCTGATTTGCAAACTCCAACCCAAACTTGAAGATGCTCCAGGGGCTGGAGCCCCACCTGCCTTGGGAGAGCTGGGGGTGTTCAGCCTGGAGAAGGGAAAGTTCAGGGGGGACCCTTCCAGTGCCTTAAGGGAATCCAGGAGAGCTGGAGAGGGGCTTGGAATAAGGGATGGAGGGACAGGAGGGCAGGGATAGATGGGATATTGAGAAGAATATCTGTGAGGGTGGGGAGACCCAGCACAGGGTGCCCAGAGAAGCTGTGGCTGCCCCTGAATGATCCCTGGCAGTGCCCAAGGCCAGGCTGGACAGGGCTTGGAGCAGCCTGGGACAGTGGAAGTGTCCCTGCCATGGCAGGGGTGGCACTGGATGAGATTTAAGATCCCTGCCAACCCAACTCGTTCTGTGACTGCATGATTTTAATTTCAGTTTTACTCCTCCACCCCTCTATCAGCCCAGAACAAAGACCCACCTGCTTGATGGTCTCCAGGGTGTCTGGGTTAATCCTGGTGATGAAGTTGGTCTCAGTACAGGCATAGTAATCCTCACCCACGGGGTAAACATTCACCAGGGCATTATCTGTCACCTCCACACCTTTGAAGTAGGAGAAAAACCTGAGCAGAGAAAACCAACAGGCAGTCAGGGGCTCCTGAAGAGCAAAAAGTCTGTGGGACATCCCAGCAATGTGTGCACCACCCCAGGGACCTGGAGAAGATGTTCTTGCAGGGGTCTGGGTAGGCGTAGGTGCCAAACTCCGTTATCACGATCCTCTTCTCTGTCATGGCTCGCACGTAGGCGTCAGTCCTGATAAACCTGGGAGGGCCAGGAGGACAAAGCCTGTCACAGGTGACACCAGGCTGTGCAATAAATACAAATATTCCTTTGGTGAATCTCAGGAGAGCTCTGGGAGCTCTACATAACCTCACATTGCATCTGGAGCTGGGTTTAATGATATCACTGCTAGAGCTCTCCCAATAACCACATGGAGTCCCAATAACCAGTGTGTCCCACAGGCCCAGCCTGTTCCCAGCATCCAGACCAGCAAATCCTTCCTTATTTGTTCCTTTTTCTTGGGAAACTGGCAGTACCTTCGGTGGTAGGTGACATGTCCCTCCTTGAAGTCGAACTTGTGGAGCAGTGCCTGGCCATCGAAGAGGTGGTAGAAGGGCTCTGAGCCCACCTCAAACAAGCCAGGACCACATCTCAGGAGGCTTCCTCGGAGCCACGTGGGAATCCTGCCTGTGGGAGAGGCAGCACTGGGATGGGCACAGCAAGAAAATCAAACCTTCAACTCATTTTTTAATTGGTGTTTAAATACACGAGTTCTTTGAGCTCTGATTTCTTCACCTCCACACCTGCTATGGACCATGACATTCAGTATTGAAATGTGTGAAGAGTTCCCCACCCAGTCTGACCTTTCTGTGGCCCAGATCAGCAGCCCTGTGAGCTCCTTGTGAAGCCTCTGAGCCCTGGGAGCCCCCGAGCTGCAGGAACAAAGGGGAGCAGAAGGAGATGAGGCCCCAGACCAACCTGTGACATGGGCAGTCACTGGAGAGGACAATTCCTCCACGGTCTCAAAGAGCTTCTTGTAGCCTCCAGCAGGATGCTCCACCCTGCAAGGGCACAGCAGAGTGAGCCCAGAGCAGGGGCAGAGCTGGGAGCCCCCCCAGGGAGGGGTGGATCTGGATGGAATGATCCATGACTTGCAAAGAACTTAAGGGAGGAAGGAGAAGCACCTTTCCATGGGGAAAGGCTCTGAGGCTCCAAACAGCTACTGAGAGCTGTCCTGAGCACGAGGAGGGACAGGGACACCGAGGGGACAGCCCACACTGCAGCCCAACACACCCAAATCATCAGAAAGCAAAATTCAGCTTGTATCTCCCAGCTCTTGGAAAAGTTTTGTTTGTTTTTTTTTTTTTTAAGCAAAGACTTATTTGTTCCAATTCCATCTGCTGCAGAGCCCATGAAGACACAGCAGGCACAGTCTGGTGAACTCTGAAGCTGTGGCTACCCCTGGATCCCTGGAGTGCCCAAGGCCAGGCTGGACAGGGCTTGGAGCAGCCTGGGACAGTGGAAGGTGTCCCTGCCATGGCAGAGGTGCCACTGGATTGGCTTTAAGGTCCTTCCAACCCAAACCATCCCAGGATTCCATGATTCTACTCCAAATTCTGATCAATCCTCTGGAACCTGGAGGTGAGCCCGTTCCCCCAGAGCAGAACCACACTTTGGGATGTGGCAGCATGGACACATGGACACCTCCCCACTTCTCCTCCCCTCCAATCCCTGCTGGCCCCCAGCCCCACTGCTCCATCTGGGATGTGCTCCCACAGAGAGGAGCTTCAGGAATACTCACTGGCTGTACATCCTGAGAGAGCCTGCAGAGCCAAGCACAGAGCCAGAACTGTGCTGGGTATTTATGGGGAGCTGAGCCCTGCCCAGGGCAGCCCCTTCCCAAAACAGCCCCCACCAATGAGAGCACCCTGGGAACAGAGCCGGCTTTCAGCACCAAAATCCTCCCCGGGCTTTGGGAGCTTTTGTCCTGCTGTTTACACAAAAAGGGGCTTTCAGTGTTTTTCTGAGACCTAAATTCTTCCCAAGCAGAAGTGATTACAAAGAAAAAAAAAACCAAAAAAACCCAGGGAGGAGTGAAACGGAGCTGGAGCCGTGCCAGGAGCACTCGGCTCTGCAGGGACTGTCCAGAGCCTCACCCATGAGTGATGTGACACTGGGGACACCAAGAGAGGAGAAAATGCCAAACACCAAGGAATGTCCTGAGCTGGAAGGACTCACAGGATCATGGATCCAGCTCCTGCCCTGCACAGACCCCCAACATTCCCACCCTGGGCATCCCTGGCTGTCCAAACGCTCCTGGAGCTGCTCTGGCAGCCTCAGGGCCATTCCCTGGGGATCTGGGCAGTGCCCAGCACCCTCTGGGGAAAAAAACCTTCCCCAAAATCCAACCTGAGCCTCCCCTGGCACAGCTCCAGCCATTCCCTGGAATCCTGTCCCTGTCACAGGAACAGAGATTGGAGCTGCAGCCCCCTGAGGTCTCCCCTCAGACTCATCATTAGGAAGCACCTCTAGTAGGAGTCACCAGGGATCCAAATTGGGGTGGAAGAACAAGAGACATTAAAGAGCCCCTGATCCCTCTGCTGCTGCAGCCAGCACGTGAGGGTTGGCTTCGTGCCCTGCTTTTGTTTGTTTGCTCCCTCTTTCAAGGCAGTGTTTCCACTTGGACAAGAGTTCATTTAAGGCTTCTCACAGAAAAAAAAAAAAAAAAAATCAAGATACTGCACTGAGATCTTGATTGAGGCCTCCCATTAACCCTTAAACCTTAATTAGAATTTCTCTATTTATTCTCATTTTGGTTAAGTTCTGTCAAAAACCTTAGAAGGGAACATTAAATAACCTGGATCAAGAACTGGGAATAATGAGGGCAGGCCTTTGAAAGCCAAATCCTGGGAAATGTGAGCTTCTCACCTAATAAGTTACTTAACTGGAACACCACATAAACAAAGCATTTATGCAACATGGAATGGGGTAGGAAGCATTGGAAGCAAATTCAGGCAGGTGCTGAGTGTTGGAGGTGGTTGGTTCCAGATGTTTGGTTGGTTCCAGATGTTCTGGGGAAGCAACAGCTGCCCCCTGCCCTGAAAGCACAAAGTTCCCCACAGGACATTGAGGCATCATTAATACAGGGTAAAATGAGGCTGATTTGGGTTTCTCATTTACAAAATCTCTTTTTAAAAAAGGAGTAAAATGGTATTTTTCAGGCTCAGGAGCACAGAGGTACCATGGAATTCCTGGCTGGGAGGGGGGGCAGGCCCTGGCACAGCCTGGGACAGTGGGAGGTGTCCCTGCCATGGCAGGGGTGGCACTGGGTGGGATTTAAGGTCCCACCCAACCCAAACTACTCTGGGATTTCAGAACCATGCAGTAGATTAATTATTATCAATTATACTTCCCCAAAAATATTCCTGCAGATTTAAAATCCTGTGGGGAAATTTTAATCTTATAATTAATAAGCAAATCCCTAACTCTGGAAAAAATAGGGGGAAAAAAAAAAAAAAAATCAGTGTATGCTGTTCTCACTTCATGCATCATCCAGCACTCTTGTTCTGAGAATCACACCAACACATCCAAAATGAATTTCCCATGAAAACATCAGAAATACACTTCAAGTCTTTTAATATAAATAAATATCAAAAAGTTGATGAGAGTTTTTACAGATGATATGAACAGAAGCATTTATAGTGAGATAATCATTTATTTATGGTCAGTTGGCTCTCCTGGTCCTCATAGAAGCTCCTTTGTTTAAAAACAAACATTTTGAGAATAGAAAAGGCACTTAAAAGTCACAACACATACACATGTAAAAACTACAATAAATGGCACAAATTCCTCACCAGACATTTAAAGGTTATAACAAGAGGCAGGTCATTAGTTTCCCATTAAAAAAAACATATATAAATTTTTGGTTGACAACAGCTTTATATGTACTTTCACATTTTCCTACTCTGATATATTGGAATAATTTGTAAACAGATAAATATTTTTCTTTTAGAAGTTATTCTAAAATATCTGGGGGGAAAAAAAAAAAAAAAAAAAAAAGGTATTTTGGCACCTTCCAGCACAGTGTCCATGTAAACATTTCCTCCTTGTACAGCACAGCCACCACCAAAATCCTGCAGCAAATCCTTTGGTGAATCCCTCAGACTTCCAGCAGGGAGAAATGGCTCAGGTGTGTTGGAATCAATACCTGAGGCTGCGAAATTTGGGTTTCCTGAGGCTCAGCATGGGCTGTTTGATGGTGGGTTTGTTCTCCAGGAGCACTGCTTCTGACTCTGTTGTGGGGAATCTGCTCCCATAGATGTGGGGATATTCCTTCTGAAACTGCAGCACACACAGACACCCATGACAGCAAAATTCCAGACCCCACAAAAAATTCCAGCTGTGCCAGAGCATGCTCCATGCCTGTCGTGCCTGCAGGAATTCCTTTATCCAGGAATTCCCTGGATAAATGTATTTTACCCAACAGGGAGCCAAGATTGAGCCTGTTTTGGAAGGGCTCTCCCAGGAAAGCTTACACTGATTCCAGGAAAATGAAAATACCTGGAATCAGAGCAGTGATTTGGACATTTTGCCTGTTTGCCAAGCAAAGCTTTAGGAAGGGATGAAAAATTGTAAATACACCTGAACACGAGCCAAACCTTTCCACTGATGGATTCAAACCACCTTTGGAACTTCTGGTGTTGACACAAATTGGGACCTTACCCTCTAGAAAGTGCAGTGCCATGAATTTGGCTTTTCCCAAGAATTCCCATGGAGAGGAACATGTCCAGCAGGCCCAGTGCAGTGCCCACCCCTGTGCTGGCACTGCTGAGGCACCTCCAGTCCTGGCATCATTTTTGGGTCCCCATTTCCTTCCTCCCCCCTTTGCCCTGCTGCTGTCAATCATTTCTTACTCCGAGCCTTAATTAACTGTAATTAACCATTCTTCTTTACATTTTCAGGAGTTTTGATGGTCTTGAACCAAACCAGACTCAATTTGAGAGGACCCAGGAAAGTTTCCACAACACACATGGAAGTCAGAGCTGCAGGAGGGGCACCAAAGCCAAGTGTGGCTGCCCTGAAAAAGCTGCTTGTTCAAATGGGAGTCACAAGACTTGCTTAGGAGATTCCAGGACAAGTACAAAACTATTCCATTGGGCAGAAAGACTTGCCAAAGGAAAGAAAAACCCTCCAGGATTAAATCCTGCCAGAACTGCTGTGTTTTAGCTTTACTATTAGGCAAGTTGTTGGTAGGCCAGAGAAATGCAAGATAATCTTGAGCAGTGTAAATGTTACAAAACACAAAGGCAAGGCCATCAAAAGAATGTTTGAGGATTCTCAACAGAGAGAGTTTGGTCTCTTAAGGCCAAAAATTATTGCTTTTAACACCCACTGAATTTAACCCCACCTATGGCACCTTGATAGAGACTTGGAATCCAGGCTGCAATTCCATCAGGAACCACTGAATGGAGAGCAGGAGCTCCAGCAGAACGGTTTGATCCTGGTTTTACACCCTTGTTTGCTCACCACTGCTGCCAGTCAAAGGCTGGATTATTATGGGGTGGTTTGGATTGGAAGGGACCTTAAATCCCATCTCATTCCAAACCCCTGCCATGGCAGGGACACCTCCCACTGTCCCAGGCTGCTCCAAACCCCAATGTCCAACCTGGCCTTGGGCACTGCCAGGGATCCAGGGGCAGCCACAGCTGCTCTGGGCACCCTGTGCCAGGAATTCCCAATTCCCAAATCCCATCCAGCCCTGCCCTCTAGGAATCCATTCCCTGTGTGCTGTCCCTCCCTGCCTTGGCCCCAGTCCCTCCCCAGCTCTCCTGGAGCCCCTTCAGGCCCTGCCAGAGGCTCTGAGCTCTCCCTGGATCCTTCTCCTCTCCAGGTGAGCACCCCCAGCTCTCCCAGCCTGGCTCCAGAGGATGCAGCATTAAAAACCATCTTTAAAATCCCAAGCAGAGCACATGGAGCACTCAAAAGCTCTTGAGCACAAACATTTCTCAGCACATTCTGCTCCTTTCCTGCCCCAGGCTCTGGGGCCTGAGCCCTTCCCTCACAAAGGCACTGCAGAAGCAGATGAAATCAACTCACCTGTTTTAACTTTTTCTTTTTGTCCTTGACAGAGAGGTTTTTATCCTTGATGATGTTCTCCAGGAGCTCTGCCACTGCAGCCTGGGAGGTGGAGACCTTTTGTTCTTCAAACTCCTGAGGAGTGATTTGCTTGCAGTAGGAATATGTTGGCAAGATGGCACAAATTTCTTCTTTTTCCTGTTTGCACTGAAAGAAGAAGGGTTCTGCATGCACTCAACTGATTCTGTACTATTTGAGTAAGTACCTAATAACCACCCACAAGCTGCAAAACGTTATCATTAATATCTATACATTCATAATCCTGGGTTTATTTGCATTTTCCCAACTTTCAGAAGTAACAATTAACCAATGAATTTGAACTGCTCTCATGGCACCAACCTGAGCCATCTTCATGTACTCCAGGTGATCCCTCACAGCAACCTGCAGGTAGGTTGGGACCTGGAATATTTCCTGCTGATGGTCCATCAGGAAGGAAACCAAACGTGTGGAGAGGAGCTCATCCAGATCCTCCTCCTCTGCAGAGCGCAGGACACAGCGGGAGAACGTCTGGATCAGCTGCAAAAGTTCAGCACAGCTTCAGTGGATAAAACTTAAATAAATTTAAATTATAAATTTATTTCCCTCCTCTCCACTCTACACAGTGGTACAAATCTTCCAATACCAACTTCCAAGTGTGGGGACACAAGGAGGAAAAGTCATTGTTGTTCTCTCACGTGAATTAAAGTAATTTCTTTGGAATTGAACAGCACTTCAATTAAAAATTTATATTGGGAAAAGGTAGTAGCAGAAAAAGGCTTAACCTATAGGAAAACGAACATCTTCACAGAACTGTAGAACAGAATCCTGGAATGGTTTGGGTTGGGGCAGGGACAGCCTGGCCTTGGACATTCCAGGGATCCAGGGGCAGCCTCAGCTGCTCTGGGCACCAGTGCCAGGGCCTCCCCTCCCTCTGAATAAAGAATTTCTTCCTACTTCTAATCTAAACCTAAATCTTCAATTGGTCATTTTGAGACAAGGAAGGTGATTAAAACCTGCAGAGCCAGCCCTAATGCACACCAAGAGCCAGGTTTAAACTGGAATGAGCTGGGCTTTAACCCTCCCAACCCAAAACCAGTGTGAGATTGTAAACGGCAGCTGGGTGAGAATTCAGACCGAGGAATCTGCATTTTTTTAAGAGTTTTTCCTTCTCTTACCAAGGACCTGGTGCCCATGGCATGGTGCAGCCGTGGCATGTCCACATTGCCACTGATCCTGGCCATCATCCTCAGCAGCAGCTGCAGCTTCCTGCGCTGTGGGGGTGGCAGCAGCAAACAGCAGATCTGCAGGGCTTCCACTGCAATTCTTTCCAGGTGAGGCTGCAGCACATCTGCAAGTTAACCACAAAGACAGCTGGCTTTAAGATTTGAACCACTTCCAGCAGATTTTAACCTCAGTACTGCAGATTTCTTATTTTTCAGTGTGATTATTTATGTTTCACAGAAATCACAGAAGAGATTGTTTGTGTGGTCATCTTCAACTTCCTTCCTTATGGTGCAATTAGGACCACAATACAATTAAGGAATGACACTAATTATTCCCAGAAGTATTCCCAGAAAAGAATGATTTGCAGAATAGAAGAAGACATTTCCAACAGGCAGGTGTGTGCAGGTTCCCTGCCCCCACCACTTACCAATTACTGACACAGCAAGCTCACACTCCAAATAACACATTACTGTTTGTTAGCAGAGCTACAGCACTTTAAACATGGCAGGCAGCAGATTTCCTTTAAAAACCCCACAAATCCATGCTCTGTGCCTATCCACAAAGCTAGCAAGAGTGGCAGAGGTTGAGGGAAGCAGGGATTAGTGAGGCCACACAACAAGGCAGTACAACATGCTGCACAGAGCCCTTACTTGTGCCAGGCAGCACACAGGGGGAGGGGGGGACAGAGCCTTCTGACACTTCTGTGCTGCTCCTGCAGAGCCTCTTTGTGGTGCTGATGGCACAGCCCTCAGTCCTGCTGGCCACACAGGGGCTGCCTTTTCCTTGTCCCCAGGGCTGCACTGTGATCTCAGCTCTGGGTCTGTTGATGGCACTGCAGCTCCTGGAGCTCCTCCTGCCCAGCAGGCTCAGTGTTCCCTTGGCTCCATCAGCCCACAGCTCCTCTCCCCAGGGAGATGGGGCAGACACTCTCCTGGGGCCATGGCTCTGGGTTTCACCTGAGCTATCCCAGCCCAGCTCCACCCCTGAGCTCACTCTCTGCTCCTCCAGCAGTTCTGCACTTCTCCTGATGGTGCTCACAGCACCTCCCCCGAGGGGGGCCCATCCTCTTTTATGACACACACTTGAAGCAGCAGCTCCAATTCTTTCCAAGGAGTAACACCTTGTCCTAACTGCTCCAGGTGGCTCTTGGCCATTCCTGAATCCTGCAAGATTCTGGCAGCTCCCTCCCATCAGGTTCCCAGCACTCCCTTGCTGTCGTGGCAGTTTGTGCTGCTGCCATTTCTTTCCATGTTGGTTTTGGGCTTCCAGCTCTTCTGAGGAAAACCTGGAAGCTTCTCCTTCCTCCTTCTCATCAGGCTCTTTGAGGAGCAGGCTTAGGAGAAGACACTCAGTGGACTTGAAAGAGTTCAAGTGAAGAGTTTTTGAAGGCTGAGGGTCACATTTCTCCTCTTGGACAGAACGTTTTCCACTGCCCAGACCAGGAATTTGGATGTAGCCACACATAACTATCAGGAAATGAAAGAGATGTTAAAGATGCAAGTGGTATGAAAATGAACCAGTTCAGAGAACTCCTAACTGGGCAGACAGACAACAAAGCTAAGATATTAATTAAGATATTAATTAAGAAGACTTTAGTTCAGTCCCAAAGCAATTTAACAAGGTCATTGCAACCAACATGCAAGAACAAAGCCAGGTAACACTGCAATAGTGAGGAGCAGGCAGAGCAAGCACATCTTTTGAAGTTTTTGTTATTGAATATTTAGAATGTGAGCTGAAACAGCAATTTAAATGGGAAATCATGAGGCAGAACTACATTTTAATTGGCACTAATACAGACTGGAGCAGTGATGATCCTCCTCAGACTGGAGCTCCCACACAGATCAGGGGATCAAGCTCTGCTTTGAATCACACATTTGTCCCCCAGCTGATCTGAACTTAGAGCTCCCCTGACTGTTTCTGAGTTCATACATACCTAAGATATTAACAAAGAGATCATAGTATTCAAAAGTAAGCAATGGCTCAGGAAGACTGAGAAAATAATCAGCAACTGTTCTGAACACATCCCTCTCAAAGCCACTGTAGGTGCCTTGGCTCATGTCATTGTTCCTGGGCCCTGAAAAGAGGGGAAGAAAGGAAATTCACACCAAAAATCCACAATCCCTTCATAAAAAAAGTTTCTGAAAATCAACCTAAATTTATTTTTGTTTCACAAGCAAAGAATCCTATCAGCAATCACAAATATTGTATTTGGCACAATTTGAGAGCAAAAGCAGTGTAAGAGGTTCCAGGCAGCCACTGAAGAGCTGGGCTCAGTTCTGTTCCACACCAAGAAAACAAATAAAGATTCATCTGTGGTCTTTATAGGTTCCTCAGCAAAACAATAACCAAGCCTTAGTATGTCCCTTCATTTCCAAAGCACAGTGGTCCCAGTTCTCCCAAAAGGAATTCAAGCTCCTTGAGCAAAAGGAAGCTCAGGACATGGAAAAGAAAACTCATTATCACTGGTTTCATTTGAGAGGCACTCATCTAATTCATTTATAGTTGATTGTTTACAAACCAAAGAAAATTGATCTCCCCAGTTTAATATCAAGTGTAGGAAATGTTTTGGTCCAGCTAAAAGCCAGAGGCTGGAAAAGCAAAGTCCCTTTCACTCCTGAAAAACTGCATTAGAGGAAACCACCCTCAGGTTTTACCCAGATTCTGAACTGAAACATCACAGCTGATTTCACACACACAAAATAAATATCAAAAAAACAAAAATAAAACAAAAAAATCTCCCTTTCAACTCTCAAAAGGGGTTTCTGCAACTCAAAAGCTCCTCAGTGACTTACAGTAGGCCAAGCACTTCATGGCTGACAGCACCCAGTGAGGGAGGTCTTCTGAAATCCAAACAGATAAATGCATCATTTAGACATGAGCCCAAATAATTAACAACTAATAATGGCTCACACGTATTTGATAACACTTAAAGTACAAAAGATTACATTTAAAACTGGTTTTAAATATTGCTACACGTGTAATTTTGATAGGATAAAGGGGAATAACTGCAAGCTGAAGGTGGGCAGAGTTAGGTGGGATATTGGGATGGAATTCCCAAATTTGCTTTGGCTCCCCCTGGATCCCTGGAGTGTCCCAGGCCAGGCTGGAGCAGCCTGGGATAGGGGAAATGTCCCTGCCATGGCAGGGGTGGGCTGGGATTTAAGGTCCCTGAGCTGTGCTGTGGTTTGGGGGGGGGAAAAGTGCAAACACCAGACTGTGAAACAGATGAATTCTTATTTCTAAATGAAGAATTTTTAAGCAAACATCACCTGCTTTGTCCTGCAGGATCACCACGCCGTGCCTGCTGGTGTTGCTCATGTTGTACATGACAAAGTCAGGGATGATCTGGGCTGGCTGCAGAACCTCCTCCAACGAGGGCACTCCCAAAATTGTTTGCAAACTGGGGGACAAAGAGAGCAGAGATTTGCAAGGGATGAAGGAAAAGATCTTTCCATATCTATTCAAAAACTCTTGGAGAGCTGAAATGCTGTTTGGTAAATTCTCTCTTTCCCTGGGACAAACAGAAAAAAAATCAGCAAGGAAGAGCACAAAAAAAAAAAAAATTTAAGCAGCAGCACAGGATCAGAAATTCCTGAAATGCAACAATCCAATGCTAATAAACAGATTAGAAAACCTGTGTAAACAACAGAAAAAAAAATATTCAACTTAAAACATAGTTTGAAAAATTAAAAACAAATTGCCAAAGCTTGCTTGGGCTGTTTCACACTGAATGAGAAGGTGCTGGGTGTAATTCCTCACTTACTGGATCCTGATGATATTTCTCCATGTTTCTTGCACATCTTCCTGGGTTATTTCCCTCCTTTGCAGGTTGTCTCCCTTCTTTTCTTCTGTTACATCAGATTTTGGCCTTGCTAAGTTTTCCTGAAAAATGAGTGGTTTGTACTATAAGATAAGTGAGCTTCTTAAGGCAATTAAAAATTAGAGGAAATTGGAATTAAAAGAATAGGGCATTCTGTGGAACATGAAATTCCACATGAGCCAGGGAGTAACCTGCAGCCTCAGCAATGAAATGGAAGCACACAAGTAAAAAGAAATGAAAAAAAAATCCCAATCAATCCAAAAATCAGCAGTTTAAAAGGTAAAAACACCTCAAATCCAGATGTATTAATATGTGAATTTTCTTCCTTTAAGACTGGAACTTAAATTCAGAATTTATGCACACAAATCTCAGCTGAATCAAGGGCCACACACACATTCCATTGTCTCCAAAAAGATGACCGATTAAATGATTTTTTTATTATTTCTCCCTTAAAGAAAAATTAAATTTCAACAAGGCCATATTGTGCAGATCATTTCTAGGACTTCACCTTCCAGCCCTCCCAATACTTTAAAATCCCTTAGCAGGGATAATTCTGCACTGAGACAAAACAAACAAAACATAATAAAAACCCTTCTCATATGAATTTATTTCTTAATATTTCTCAATTCCTTTAAGTCCAAACTATTTTTTATTAAGGGAAGATGCCACAAGAGAGCAGTGCCACTAATTTTTAAAGAATAAAGACAATACAAGACAAGTGCAATGCTGTAAAGAACAGAAATTATTACCAGGGACTGCAGGACCTCCTGTTTTTTCAAAGCCTTCTTGGATGAACTGGGCAGTTTGAAAAGTTTTCCTTTGTCTCCAGAGTTTTCCAAGTTCTCCCTTGGTGGGCTTGGTAAAGGTTTGACTGGAGATGTTGGAGGAAATCTGTAATGAATGGGAGAGATGTGAAATACATTCAGAATTAATCTGTAATTAAAGAAATGACAAAACAAATCCTCTGATTCCACACCAGTGTGACTCTGAGATTGACTTAAAAAAAAAAAAAGGAAAACACTGAATATTTTTAATTTATGATATGATAAATTAGCTTTGGGCTGTTTGATGCCAAAGTCAAGCTGGAGATGTTGGCACAGCCTGAGCCCAGAACGTGACAAGTGAGGGCCATTGAATTTCAGAGCTCTGATTCTCACTCAGAATTTGTTTAAAAGCTCCAAGAGAAGCAAACCCAGCAGGCAGCTCCTACAAAACACTCCTGGCTTCCCTCCAAAGCACTGCAGTGCACTTTGTGTTCCAGCAAAAACCTCAGACAGACAAAAGTATGAATGTTCTGAGTATGTGTTATTGGCTTTGTGCAAATATTCAAATGAATGTTATATGTATAATGTTGGAAAACTTTGCTGTATGAAGATAGTTCCTTTTAGTTCTGCAATTAACAAAGTTTAGGAATTTAATTAGTAGTGTAATAAATAAATTTTTATAGTAGTGTAATAAATAATAATGTAATAAATATAGTAGTAATGCAATAAATATATAGCAGTGTAAAAAAAATTTTTTTTTTTTACTATAACATGGTGATGTAAAAAGCTTTTGTTCACGTAACTAACTCAAAGAATGGTAAAAAGATAATCAGGAAATTCTTCATATTCTTGGATTATCCAATCTGGATGAAGACAGGGGTGAGAGCACCAAAACTCCAGGGAAGGGATTTATTGATCTCTGTTATCAGGGAGGGCACCGACAAGAAGGAGCCACAAGGGAAAAAATAATAAACAAAGTAAAAATGTTGATGTACAAGCTGAGGGGAGTGATTCTGAATAATTCATGAAGGTTTATGAATATGCAACAGGCTGATACATTTAAAGAAGCGTTTTCTTAATTAAAGTGTGCTCTTGGCTGAATGTAAAGCACTTTTGCTTTATTGCCTCTTATTGTCTTTTATTAAACTTTTGCTTTATTATCTTTTATTAAACTTGTTAAAAATCTACCAAGAAACTGAACCTCGTTTTTTTCACGTGAATTGTTTATTAATTTATTATTATACTAACATATTACTATATATATAATATATAACCATATATTATACATTATAGTTATATATGTTATATATAGCATATATATGGTATTTCTAAGTGTATGTGCATATATACATATATATGGTATTTCTAAGTGTGTGTATACATATATATATGGTATTTCTAAGTGTGTGTATATATATATATGGTATTTCTAAGTGTGTGTATATATATATATGGTATTTCTAAGTGTATATATATATATATA